GCTCGGCCGATCTGAACCACCCGCCGCCACCACCCTGGGGCCTCAATTTCCTGGGGGCGGCAGGAGCTCCGCGCAGCGCACGGGGCCCCGCGGTGCCGCCACCTATAAGAAGAGGCATCACCGCCATTTCGTGTCCATCTATTTCTTTCATCGCACTGCTATTCGGGCTCATCGGGTATGTTTATTTCTATGAAATGTTTCTATACATGTATGTATACACACGTTTATAGAGTTCCTGGGCTCACATTGGCTGATCTGTGCGCCTCTATGTAAGCTATGTCGGCTTGGGTCCGAGTCAAGTTTTGCTCAAGATCGACTTGAGTTGGCAGACGTTCGACGCAGCCTCGACGCATGAGCGCACCGCCAAGGGGTGAGATATGCCTTTTGCCGACGAGAATGGGGGAGAAAGTCTGCCACTACGGGCACTGCGGGGGAAAGCCGGGGGCGGCCAATTCCCCCCCCTCCATCCGCCCACCCCCCCCCACACCACCTCCGCGCCCACTCCTGGACTGGACGGTCGGTTCCCCAACAGCATTGGGGACGAGGAGGAAAAGGACGAGGAGGAGAGGACGAGAAGGACGAACCTGTATAGGAGGGAGGGAGAGAAGCAGGTACTTGTGAGAAGCGAGGGAACTGGAGTGATGGGCGATCTTCACTTCATTGTTGTTGCTTGCCTTCGTTCCTTGAGCGTGTGCTCTTCAGCTTTTGTATATCATCATATGTTTGGCAACGTTGTTGTTTGTTCGTTGTTTGATGCTGATGTGGTGACCAAGTTCCTTCCCATCCTCCCCCTTGTCTCTTAATTGTTCCTGGGGAGGAGAATGGACGATCATGGGGAGGAGGAATGATATAGCGAAGGGAAGAGCAAAGTTGTTGATCCACTTCTTTCTGTCGTCGCAGAGAGCGATGTTGCTCATCGCCCTGCCATGTCTTCGCCACAGGTCTCTTTCAAGAGACTGGGCAGTAGCAGAAGGCGTAGAAGCAGGATGAGGAGATTCTCGTATGTTCCCTCTCCACCCCGATCTCGCTTCTTTTACCCATCTCGCTTTCCTGGGCCACGTGCTTACACTCCTTCCGTCTTTCAGCCCTCGTCTGCTGCAATCCTGGTTCGAGAAGCGAGCCAGTGAGTTCCAACGTTCTAGCAGATTCTCTGCATACAGGCCCTTTTGCCGGCTGCGACTGGCAATCGACATTGCGAGGTACCGTTCGTCTTTGGTCGAGGTGGCAGCATGGGGGAGAAGACTTTCCAGATCATGGGTGCCCTCTCCTGCGTGGTGATGGCAGCCTCGGCAGCAGTCTTCTGCCTGCCGATGCACAGGCTCTCCTTCTTCACTGGCGGTTTCATTCGCGCCGCGCGCATCGAGACGCATCTCTTGACGGTGGAGTTCCAGGAGGACGGCAGCGGCTTCTGCAAGGCGATCAATTACTTGCGCCCCGGCACGTGCTCCGACGACAGCTTCAGCCTGGAGGAGGTCCAGCAGAGGTTCTGCGCCCCTGTGGTCGCCACGGCCTACCCGCAGGGCTGCCACGGCTTCCAGAACGCGTTCCGCCTCGGCATCGGGCTCGCCGTCTCCCTGGTGCTCAACACAGTCGGCCTGGTGTGCGTCCTCTTCGCCCTCCACAGCTACATCTACGGGCAGAGCCACAAGCGGTCCTACCGCAGCCTGGCGCTGATCGCGCTCGTGGTCTCTACCCTGCAGCTGGGCGCTGCCGTGAGCATGTACGGCCTCTTCGTCTTCAGGCACCTGGACGAGATGAAGGCCAGAGGCGCCAGCGGCATGGTCACCAAGTTTGTCTTCGCGGCGAGCGAGGGCATCGGGGCTTCCTTTGGCTTCTTCGCGTGCGCCAGCATCATCTTCTTGCAGCTGTTCATGCTCGCGATCTGGCAGTACACCAAGACCTCGCAGGAGCAGAGCGACGAGGAGATCAGGGAGAAGAAGCTGTTCGCCGCCGGGTTGGAGGCCCACGCGGGCTACGGCGGTGTCCCGGCCGCGGCGCCGCCGGCGCAGCCCTGGCCGCAGGCCGAGCAGGTCCTCTACGTCCCCGGCGGCGCCGCGCCGCAGCAGTGGGATCAGCCGCCCACCGGCTTCGGAGGCGCCGCCGGCGCGGGGCCGGCCCAGGCATGGCCCCAGGCCGGCGGCCCCGCGCCGCAGCAGTGGGACCAGCCTGCCGGGCTGCTGGCCCCGAGCACTTGCGAGAGCCAGCCCCTGGAGATGCGGCGGGGGCAGACCTACATGCCCGACGCCCCGCCGAGCAACGCGGTGTGAGCCCAGGGCCCATTTCCCTGGCGGTCCCCGGCGCGCGGCCGCGGCGGGAGTGAGTCCTTGCCCCTGCTGGTCTTGCTCCGCCGTCCTCCTGCTGGTCGCCGCCCTCACTGCTCCTCCTCCTCGTCACAGTGTCCTGTTCATCGGAGACGCCTACGGCGAATCACCGCCGCCCACTGCCTGTTGGAAATGCCCATGCTATGTGTTCCCCGCGCCGTCGTGGAACCCCTTGGCGGAACACTGGGGACAGGAAGAGGAAGGAGGATGATGGGGAGGAGAAGAAGGAGGACGAGAAGGAGGAGGATGAGGATGAGAAGGAGGGGGTGGTCCTGGGAGCCTCTTTTGGGGCCTCTTGGGCCTTCTTAGCCTTCTTTGGGGCCTCTTGGGCCCTCTTTGGGGCCTCTTGGGGGCCTCTTGGGGGCCTTTTGGAGTCTTCTGGGGACCTCTAAAGGGACCTCTTGGCCTTCGGAGGCCTCCATGGGGCTCTGTGCGCAGGTCCCTCTTTGGGAGCTTTAGGGCCGTCTTGAAGGCCTCTGGGGACGTCTTGGGGCCGCCTTGGGGGCCTCTTCTTAGGGCCCTCTCGGGGGCCGTCTTGGGGGCCGTGTAGCTGGCCTCTCGGGGGCCTCTTGGGTCACCCTGGGGCGATCGTGAAGGCCTTTGGGGCCGCCTTGGAACATGGAGTATGGGAAGCCCACAAAAGCCGAGACCGCTAGACTGCTTGAACAAGCTGAGGACAATCATTGATTCGGGCCTCCTGGAGGTCCTCTTGGAGCCCTCTCGGGGCGGCTTGGGGGCCTCATGGGCCGTCTGGACGGCATTGAGCCGTCTTGGGGCCGTCTTGGACGTCTTGGAGGCGTCTCGGGACCGTGGAGGCCCTCCAGGGCCATCTTGGACGTCCTGGAGGCGTCTTGCTGGCCATCCTTGGCCGTCTTGGAGCCATCTTGGAGGCCATCTCGGGCCATCTTGGCCGTCTTGGAGGCGATTTGGGCAGCGGGGTACATAGTTTCGGCGGCGCTGTTGGGTCCTTCCCGGTGGCAGGCGGGATCGGACGAGACCCCACTGGGAGTTTCCGAAAGGGCCACCAACTACCTGGCATACAGCACGCCGTGCACCCCTGTGGCACGCCAACAGGAGGCGGCGGATCGCGATCGAAGATGCCTACGGCGAATCCCCGCCGCCCCCCTGCCTTTCACGACACGCCTGTGTGGCCGAACATGTGGGCAAAGTTTGGCCACGCGATTGGACCATGCGTTCTCCAAGCCGTTGAGGAAGCCCTCCGGGGAACACGTGGGGGAGGAAGAAGGAAGAAGAGGAGAAGAAGGAGGAGACCTCTTGGGAGCTTCTTGGGTCATTCTTGAGGCCTCCTGGGAACTTCCTGGGGGCCTCGTGGAGGCCTCTTGGGGGCCTCTTCGGCCTCTTGGAGGCCTTTGAGGGCTTCTTGGGGGCCTCGTTGGTCGTCTTACGGCGTTCCTGGCCCGTCTGACGCCGTCGGGAGCCGCCATGGGAGCCTCGTTGGGACGTCTTGGGGCCCTCTTGAAGCGCTTCAGAGTCGTCTTGAAGGCCATCGTTCCAGGCCTCTTGGGCCGTCTTGGCGCCTTGAGGGGCCGTCTTGGGAGCCTCTGGGGCGATCTTGGGGCAATCTTGGGGGCTGTTTTAGAAGCACATGCCCACGTCCGTCGAGCACGTGTCTTGCAACTCAGTGCTGTTGGCCTCTTCGGGCCCTTCTGGAGGACCTCTTGGAGGCCTCTTGCGCCTTTGCAGGGGCCTGCCTCCTGGGCGCTTCTTGTGCCGTCTTGGGCTCTCTTGGACCATCTTGGCGGTCTTGGGGGCAAATTCAAACCGTTTTTGGAGGCCATCCCCACCTTGCCCGCCTCGGAGGCATCTTGGAGGCCATCTTGGTCGTGGCTACTTGGAGGCGATTGGGCCAACATTTTGTGGCGACTTTTTGCAGCTTTCTGGTGGGCTGGGCCGGAGCCTCAGTTTTGTTCTCAACAGTGAACCAAGAGCCACTAGAACTCCAGCATACCGGGCACCCCTGTGGGCCTCTTAGGGCGTTTCTTTGGACCTCTGCGGGGGCCTCTAGCGGTCTCGGAGGGGCCGCTTGGGATTCTGGTCGAGGCTGTGGAGGCCATCTTCGAGGAGAGCGCGAAATTGCTGCTGAGGCCCCGCGGCCCCCTTTTGGACCAGCGTTGGGCCGTTTGGGGGGCCTCTTCGACGGTCTTGCTGGTCCTCGTGAGGTCTTTTGGGCCGCCTAGGGGTGTCGGAAGTTCAGAGCGGCGAGAACGCACAAAAACCAATTCATCCATCCGAAGGAACTCAGTGGTGTTTGCCTCCTGGTTCCCCCTTATGGTGTCTGCTTGGGTCCCTCTCGGAGCGACTTTAGGACCTCGGGGCCGTCCTGAGGCCATCTTGGGCGGTCTTGGAGCCCTGTTGGACCCTTTTCAGACAGAGACAGAGGAAATTCTTGAGGAACACCCCATACACCAACACACATCGCTACAACAGTGCTCACGACCACTTTCCAGGCAACGCGCTGACATGCAGCACCCGAACACAACGCAATGCTGCAGCATAGCAGTGATAGTACAAAGAGGGTACCAGCAGATTGTGCAGTGGGCGCAGCGTTCCGTCACTATCGGCAGACACTGTTCTTGATCTCGTGCTTCCACCGTCATCGCTCCTCGGCGGGGCGATCTTCCTCCGTCAGTTACTCAGCCCTCCTTCGTTGCCACCCCGGCTCGAGAAACGAACCAGTGAGTTCCAACGTTCTAGCAGATTCTCTGCATACAGGCCCTCTTGCCGGCCGAAACTGGCAATCTTTTTTGCGCGGTACGTGTGGTACCGTTCGTCTTTGGTCGAGGTGGCAGCATGGGGGAGAAGACTTTCCAGATCATGGGTGCCCTCTCCTGCGTGGTGATGGCAGCCTCGGCAGCAGTCTTCTGCCTGCCGATGCACAGGCTCTCCTTCTTCACTGGCGGTTTCATTCGCGCCGCGCGCATTGAGACGCATCTCTTGACGGTGGAGTTCCAGGAGGACGGCAGCGGCTTCTGCAAGGCGATCAATTATTGAATCGCTTCGCTCATTCCGCCGGCCCATTTCGCATGACTGAGCCTCTTGGGGCCGCTGGGGGGCCTCTTCAGCGTCGCTTGGGGGCCTCCTGAGGGCCTCTTGGGGGCTTTGGGGGCCTCTCAGGGGCCTCTTGAGGCCTCGGGGCTTCTTAAGGCCGAGGGCTCGAAGTTTCGTTTTGTGTTCCCCCTTTGGGGCATCGCTTGGGGCCCTCTTGGGCCCCTCTTGGGCCGTCTTGGATGTCTCTGGGGCCGTCTTGGAGCCCTCTTGGGCCAGCTTGGGGCCTTCTTGGGAGCTTCTTGGGCCCTCTTGGGGCGATCTTGGGGGCCTCTTGGGCCGTCTTGGGGCGTCGGGAAGCCGAAAAGATGGACACGCCAAAATCTGCCCACAACCTAATGAAAAGTAATGAATTTTGCCTCTTTGGGCCCTCTGGGGAGTGCTCTTGGAGGCCTCCTGGGGCGTCTGGGGGCCATCTTGGGCGTCTTGGAACGATCGTGTGGCATCTCGGAGCACTCTTGAACCATCTTGGAGGGCTCTTGGCGGCCTCGTGGCCCTTCTTGGGGCTCTCTGGAGGGCCACGGGGGCGGCGCCCAGGAGGAAAACCATCTCTGACCCGAGTCTGCCGGGGATCGCCCGGGGTACTTTTCGTCCGGGTAAACCCAGGGGCCGCCCCGCGCGCGCGAAGTAGAAGTATTATTTAGCAGTTACCGGAGATCTTAGCACGCCTCTGGCCCGTTGGGCCGGCGAATTTGCGCCCCGGCACGTGCTCCGACGGCAGCTTCAGCCTGGAGGAGGTCCAGCAGAGGTTCTGCGCCCCTGTGGTCGCCACGGCCTACCCGCAGGGCTGCCACGGCTTCCAGAACGCGTTCCGTCTCGGCATCGGGCTCGCCGCCTCCCTGGTGCTCAACGCAGTCGGCCTGGTGTGCGTCCTCTTCGCCCTCCACAGCTATATCTACGGGCAGAGCCACAAGCGGTCCTACCGCAGCCTGGCGCTGATCGCGCTCGTGGTCTCTACCCTACAGCTGGGCGCTGCCGTGAGCACGTACGGCCTCTTCGTGTTCAGGCACCTGGACGAGATGAAGGCCAGAGGCGCCAGCGGCATGGTCACCAAGTTTGTCTTCGCGGCGAGCGAGGGCATCGGGGCTTCCTTTGGCTTCTTCGCGTGCACCAGCATCATCTTCTTGCAGCTGTTCATGCTCGCGATCTGGCAGTACACCAAGACCTCGCAGGAGCAGAGCGACGAGGAGATCAGGGAGAAGAAGCTGTTCGCCGCCGGGTTGGAGGCCCACGCGGGCTACGGCGGTGTCCCGGCCGCGGCGCCGCCGGCGCAGCCCTGGCCGCAGGCCGAGCAGGTCCTCTACGTCCCCGGCAGCGCCGCGCCGCAGCAGTGGGATCAGCCGCCCACCGGCTTCGGAGGCGCTGCCGGCGCGGTGCCGGCCCAGGCATGGCCCCAGGCCGGCGGCCCCGCGCCGCAGCAGTGGGACCAGCCTGCCGGGCTGCTGGCCCCGAGCACTTGCGAGAGCCAGCCCCTGGAGATGCGGCGGGGGCAGACCTACATGCCCGACGCCCCGCCGAGCAACGCGGTGTGAGCCCAGGGCCCTTTCCCGGAGTCCTTGCTCCTGCTGCTCTTGCTCCGCCGTCCTCCTGCTGGTCGCCGCCCTCACTGCTCCCCCTCCTCGTCACAGTGTCCTGTTCATCGGAGACGTCGACCGCCGTCCCCTGCTTTTTGGAAACGCCCATGAGGCCAACCGTTGGGCCGAAGTGTGGCAAAGCTATCGGGCTATGTGGGCTATGTATTCCTCCAGCCGTCGTGGAACCCCTTCGGGGAACGCTGGAGAGAGGACGAGAAACGAGGAGGATAGGGACGATAAGGAGGAGCAGGAGGAGGAGCAGGAGGAGGAGGAGGAGGGGGAGGAGGAGGAGGAGGAGGAGGAGGAGGAGGAGGAGGAGGAGGAGGAGGAGGAGGAGGAGGAGGAGGAGGAGGGAGGAGGAGGAGAGGAGGAGGAGGGAGGAGGAGGAGGAGGAGGAGGAGGAGGAGGAGGAGGAGGAGGGGGAGTGAGGAGGAGGAGGAGGAGTGGGAGGAGGAGGAGGAGGAGGAGGAGGAGGAGGAGGAGGAGGAGGAGGAGGAGGCGGAGGAGGAGAAGGAGGAATGAGGAGGGGTCCTGGGAGCCTCTTTGGGGCCTCCGAGGAGCCTCGTGGGAGCCTTTTGGGCCCTCTTTGGGGTCTCTTTGGGGCCTCTTGGGGGCCTCTCTGGGGAGGCCTCTGGGGACCTCTAAGGGACCTCTAAGGGACCTCTAAGGGACCTCGTGGACTTCGGAGGCCGACATGGGGCTCTGTGCACAGTGGTGGGTCCCTCGTTGAAAGCGTTAGGGCCGTCTTGAAGGCCACTGTGGCCGTCTTGGTGGCCTCCTCTTAGGGGCCCTCTTGGGCCGTGTTGCTGGCCTCTTGGGGCCTCCCAACGTCAATCACGCCGTGCACCCTTGTGGCAAGACCACAGGGTGCGGCGGATCTGGTGGCCTTGGGTCCATCCCGCCACTGCGCCGCTGGGTTGTGGTTCAGAAGCCTCTTGGTTACTTATTGGGGTCTCATTGGGTGTGTCGCGGGGAGATGCTGGAGGCCTCCTGGGCACCTATCTGGTATCTCTTAAGGCCTCTTCGGGGGCTTCTGAGAGGCCGCTTGGGTTTACGGTGGAGGCTATGGAAGCCATCTTAGAGGACAATGCGAGATTGCTTCGGAGGCCCCTTGGCCCCCTCTTGGGCTTTGGCAGTCGTGCGGGCCCTCCTGGCGGCCGTGTTGCGCCGTCTTGCACGTCCTCTTGGACCGCCTCGGCGTGTCGGAAGGGCAGAACGGCGAGAACCCAGAACAAATCATTGACCAGCTCGAAGAAAATCAATCATGTTTACCTCTTGGTGTCTCCTTGGAGCCCTCTTGGAGCGACTCGGGGACTTCGGGGCCGTCCCGAGGCCATCTTGGGCAGTTTCGGAGCCCCTTTGGAGCCTCTTCAGACAGAGACAGTGGGAATGCTTGAGGATAACCCCTTACGCTAAAACACATCGCTAAAACAGTGCTCACGGCAACTGCCCGGGCAAAATGCTGCCAAGCAGCACTCCAATACGATACAATGCTGTAGCATAGCAGTAACAGTACAAGGGTGTATCAGCAGATCGTGCGTTTGGCGCAGCGTTCCGTCACCATCGGCAGGCATTATTCTTGGTATCTTGTTTCTTTCCTCTTCATTTCTCGGTGGGGCGATCTTCCTCCGTCAGTTATTCAACCCTCCTCCGCTGCCACCGCGGCTCGAGAAACGAGCCAGTGAGTTCCAACGTTCTAGCAGATCCTCTGCATACAGGCCCTTTTGCCGGCTGCGACTGGCAATCGACATTGCGAGGTACCGTTCGTCTTTGGTCGAGGTGGCAGCATGGGGGAGAAGACTTTCCAGATCATGGGTGCCCTCTCCTGCGTGGTGATGGCAGCCTCGGCAGCAGTCTTCTGCCTGCCGATGCACAGGCTCTCCTTCTTCACTGGCGGTTTCATTCGCGCCGCGCGCATCGAGACGCATCTCTTGACGGTGGAGTTCCAGGAGGACGGCAGCGGCTTCTGCAAGGCGATCAATTACTTGCGCCCCGGCACGTGCTCCGACGGCAGCTTCAGCCTGGAGGAGGTCCAGCAGAGGTTCTGCGCCCCTGTGGTCGCCACGGCCTACCCGCAGGGCTGCCACGGCTTCCAGAACGCGTTCCGTCTCGGCATCGGGCTCGCCGTCTCCCTGGTGCTCAACACAGTCGGCCTGGTGTGCGTCCTCTTCGCCCTCCACAGCTACATCTACGGGCAGAGCCACAAGCGGTCCTACCGCAGCCTGGCGCTGATCGCGCTCGTGGTCTCTACCCTGCAGCTGGGCGCTGCCGTGAGCATGTACGGCCTCTTCGTCTTCAGGCACCTGGACGAGATGAAGGCCAGAGGCGCCAGCGGCATGGTCACCAAGTTTGTCTTCGCGGCGAGCGAGGGCATCGGGGCTTCCTTTGGCTTCTTCGCGTGCGCCAGCATCATCTTCTTGCAGCTGTTCATGCTCGCGATCTGGCAGTACACCAAGACCTCGCAGGAGCAGAGCGACGAGGAGATCAGGGAGAAGAAGCTGTTCGCCGCCGGGTTGGAGGCCCACGCGGGCTACGGCGGTGTCCCGGCCGCGGCGCCGCCGGCGCAGCCCTGGCCGCAGGCCGAGCAGGTCCTCTACGTCCCCGGCGGCGCCGCGCCGCAGCAGTGGGATCAGCCGCCCACCGGCTTCGGAGGCGCCGCCGGCGCGGGGCCGGCCCAGGCATGGCCCCAGGCCGGCGGCCCCGCGCCGCAGCAGTGGGACCAGCCTGCCGGGCTGCTGGCCCCGAGCACTTACGAGAGCCAGCCCCTGGAGATGCGGCGGGGGCAGACCTACATGCCCGACGTCCCGCCGAGCAACGCGGTGTGAGCCCAGGGCCCTTCCCCGGCGGTCCCCGGCGCGCGGCCGCGGCGGGAGGGAGTCCTTGCTCCTGCTGCTCTTGCTCCGCCGTCCTCCTGCTGGTCGCCGCCCTCACTGCTCCCCCTCCTCGTCACAGTGTCCTGTTCATCGGAGACGCCTACGGCGAATCACCGCCGCCCACTGCCTGTTGGAAATGCCCATGCTATGTGTTCCCCGCGCCGTCGTGGAACCCCTTGGCGGAACACTGGGGACAGGAAGAGGAAGGAGGAGGATGGGGAGGAGAAGAAGGAGGATGAGAAGGAGGAGGATGAGGAGGATGAGGAGGAGGGGTTGGTCCTGGGAGCCTCTTTTGGGCCTCTTGGGCCTTCTTAGCCTTCTTTGGGGCCTCTTGGGCCCTCTTTGGGGCCTCTTGGGGGCCTCTTGGGGGCCTTTTGGAGTCTTCTGGGGACCTCTAAAGGGACCTCTTGGCCTTCGGAGGCCTCCATGGGGCTCTGTGCGCAGGTCCCTCTTTGGGAGCTTTAAGGCCGTCTTGAAGGCCTCTGGGGACGTCTTGGGGCCGTCTTGGGGGCCTCTTCTGATGGCCCTCTCGGGGGCCGTCTTGGGGGCCGTGTAGCTGGCCTCTCGGGGGCCTCTTGGGTCGTCCTGGGGCGATCGTGAAGGCCTTTGGGGCCGTCTTGGAGCATGGAGCATGGGAAGCCCACACAGGCGAGACCGATAGACTGCTCGAACAGCCTGAGGACAATCATCGATTCGGGCCTCCTGGAGGTCCTCTTGGAGCCCTCTCGGGGCGGCTTGGGGGCCTCATGGGCCGTCTGGACGGCATTGGGCCGTCTTGGGGCCGTCTTGGACGTCTTGGGAGGCGTCTTGGGACCGTGGAGGCCCTCCAGGGCCATCTTGGACGTCCTGGAGGCGTCTTGCTGGCCATCCTTGGCCGTCTTGCAGCCATCTTGGAGGCCATCTTGGGCCATCTTGGCCGTCTTGGAGGCGATTTGGGCAACGGGGTACGTAGTTTCGGCGGCGCTGTTGGGTCCTTCGGGTGGCAGGCGGGATCGGACGAGACTCCACTGAGAGTTTCCGAAAGGGCCACCAACTACCTGGCATACAGCACGCCGTGCACCCCTGTGGCACGCCAACAGGAGGCGGCGGATCGAAGATGCCTACGGCGAATCCCCGCCGCCCCCCTGCCTTTATGACACGCCTGTGTGGCCGAACATGTGGGCAAAGTTTGGCCACGCGATTGGACCATGCGTTCTCCAAGCCGTTGTGGAAGCCCTTCGGGGAACACGTGGGGGAGGAAGGAGGATGAGGAGAAGAAGGAGGAGACCTCTTGGGAGCTTCTTGGGTCATTCTTGAGGCCTCCTGGGAACTTCCTGGGGGGCTCGTGGAGGCCTCTTGGGGGCCTCTTCGGCCTCTTGGAGGCCTTTGAGGGCTTCTTGGGGGCCTCTTTGGTCGTCTTACGGCGTTCCTGGCCCGTCTGACGCCGTCGGGAGCCGCCATGGGAGCCTCGTTGGGACGTCTTGGGGCCCTCTTGAAGCGCTTCAGAGTCGTCTTGAAGGCCATCGTTCCAGGCCTCTTGGGCCGTCTTGGCGCCTTGAGGGGCCGTCTTGGGAGCCTCTGGGGCGATCTTGGGGCAATCTTGGGGGCTGTTTTGGAAGCACATGCCCACGTCCGTCGAGCACGTGTCTGGCAACTCAGTGCTGTTGGCCTCTTCGGGCCCTTCTGGAGGACCTCTTGGAGGCCTCTTGCGCCTTTGCAGGGGCCTGCCTCCTGGGCGCTTCTTGTGCCGTCTTGGGCTCTCTTGGACCCTCTTGGCGGTCTTGGGGGCAAATTCAAACCGTTTTTGGAGGCCATCTTGGGGCTGCCTTGGGCCCCCGTGAGCCCACCTTGCCCGCCTCGGAGGCATCTTGGAGGCCATCTTGGTCGTGGCTATTTGGAGGCGATTGGGCCAACAATTTGTGGCGACTTTTTGCAGCTTTCTGGTGGGCTGGGCCGGAGCCTCAGTTTTGTTCTCAACAGTGAACCAAGAGCCACCAGAACTCCAGCATACCGGGCACCCCTGTGGGCCTCTTAGGGCGCTTCTTGGGACCTCTGCGGGGGCCTCTAGCGGTCTCGGAGGGGCCGCTTGGGATTCTGGTCGAGGCTGTGGAGGCCATCTTCGAGGAGAGCGCGAAATTGCTGCTGAGGCCCCGCGGCCCCCTTTTGGACCAGCGTTGGGCCGTTCGGGGGGCCTCTCCGACGGTCTTGCTGGTCCTCGTGAGGTCTTTTGGGCCGCCTAGGGGCGTCGGAAGTTCAGAGCGGCGAGAACGCACAAAAACCAATTCATCCATCCGAAGGAACTCAGTGGTGTTTGCCTCCTGGTTCCCCCTTATGGTGTCTGCTTGGGTCCCTCTCGGAGCGACTTTAGGACCTCGGGGCCGTCCTGAGGCCATCTTGGGCGGTCTTGGAGCCCTGTTGGACCCTTTTCAGACAGAGACAGAGGAAATTCTAGAGGAACACCCCATGCACTAACACACATCGCTACGACAGTGCTCACGACCACTCTCCAGGCAACGCGCTGACAAGCAGCACCCGAGCACAACGCAATGCTGCAGCATAGCAGTGATAGTACAAAGAGGGTACCAGCAGATTGTGCAGTGGGCGCGGCGCTCCGTCACTATCGGCAGACACTGTTCTTGATCTCGTGCTTCCACCGTCATCGCTCCTCGGCGGGGCGATCTTCCTCCGTCAGTTACTTAGCCCTCCTCCGTTGCCACCCCGGCTCGAGAAACGAACCAGTGAGTTCCAACGTTCTAGCAGATTCTCTGCATACAGGCCCTCTTGCCGGCCGAAACTGGCAATCTTTTTTGCGCGGTACGTGTGGTACCGTTCGTCTTTGGTCGAGGTGGCAGCATGGGGGAGAAGACTTTCCAGATCATGGGTGCCCTCTCCTGCGTGGTGATGGCAGCCTCGGCAGCAGTCTTCTGCCTGCCGATGCACAGGCTCTCCTTCTTCACTGGCGGTTTCATTCGCGCCGCGCGCATTGAGACGCATCTCTTGACGGTGGAGTTCCAGGAGGACGGCAGCGGCTTCTGCAAGGCGATCAATTATTGAATCGCTTCGCTCATTCCGCCGGCCCATTTCGCATGACTGAGCCTCTTGGGGCCGCTGGGGGGCCTCTTCAGCGTCGCTTGGGGGCCTCCTGAGGGCCTCTTGGGGGCTTTGGGGGCCTCTCAGGGGCCTCTTGAGGCCTCGGGGCTTCTTAAGGCCGAGGGCTCGAAGTTTCGTTTTGTGTTCCCCCTTTGGGGCATCGCTTGGGGCCCTCTTGGGCCCCTCTTGGGCCGTCTTGGATGTCTCTGGGGCCGTCTTGGAGCCCTCTTGGGCCAGCTTGGGGCCTTCTTGGGAGCTTCTTGGGCCCTCTTGGGGCGATCTTGGGGGCCTCTTGGGCCGTCTTGGGTCGTCGGGAAGCCGAAAAGATGGACACGCCAAAATCTGCCCAAAACCTAAGGAAAAGTAATGATTTTTGCCTCTTGGGGCCCTCTGGGGAGTGCTCTTGGAGGCCTCTTGGGGCGTCTGGGGGCCATCTTGGGCGTCTTGGAACGATCGTGTGGCATCTCGGAGCACTCTTGAACCATCTTGGAGGGCGTTTGGCGGCCTCGTGGCCCTTCTTGGGGCTCTCTGGAGGGCCACGGTGGCGGCGCCCAGGAGGAAAACCATCTCTGACCCGAGTCTGCCGGGGATCGCCCGGGGTACCTTTTCGTCCGGGTAAACCCAGGGGCCGCCCCGCGCGCGCGAAGTAGAAGTATTATTTAGCAGTTACCGGAGATCTTAGCACGCCTCTGGCCCGTTGGGCCGGCGAATTTGCGCCCCGGCACGTGCTCCGACGGCAGCTTCAGCCTGGAGGAGGTCCAGCAGAGGTTCTGCGCCCCTGTGGTCGCCACGGCCTACCCGCAGGGCTGCCACGGCTTCCAGAACGCGTTCCGTCTCGGCATCGGGCTCGCCGCCTCCCTGGTGCTCAACGCAGTCGGCCTGGTGTGCGTCCTCTTCGCCCTCCACAGCTACATCTACGGGCAGAACCACAAGCGGTCCTACCGCAGCCTGGCGCTGATCGCGCTCGTGGTCTCTACCCTACAGCTGGGCGCTGCCGTGAGCACGTACGGCCTCTTCGTGTTCAGGCACCTGGACGAGATGAAGGCCAGAGGCGCCAGCGGCATGGTCACCAAGTTTGTCTTCGCGGCGAGTGAGGGCATCGGGGCTTCCTTTGGCTTCTTCGCGTGCGCCAGCATCATCTTCTTGCAGCTGTTCATGCTCGCGATCTGGCAGTACACCAAGACCTCGCAGGAGCAGAGCGACGAGGAGATCAGGGAGAAGAAGCTGTTCGCCGCCGGGTTGGAGGCCCACGCGGGCTACGGCGGTGTCCCGGCCGCGGCGCCGCCGGCGCAGCCCTGGCCGCAGGCCGAGCAGGTCCTCTACGTCCCCGGCGGCGCCGCGCCGCAGCAGTGGGATCAGCCGCCCACCGGCTTCGGAGGCGCCGCCGGCGCGGGGCCGGCCCAGGCATGGCCCCAGGCCGGCGGCCCCGCGCCGCAGCAGTGGGACCAGCCTGCCGGGCTGCTGGCCCCCAGCACTTACGAGAGCCAGCCCCTGGAGATGCGGCGGGGGCAGACCTACATGCCCGACGTCCCGCCGAGCAACGCGGTGTGAGCCCGGGGCCCATTTCCCTGGCGGTCCCCGGCGCGCGGCCGCGGCGGGAGTGAGTCCTTGCCCCTGCTGGTCTTGCTCCGCCGTCCTCCTGCTGGTCGCCGCCCTCACTGCTCCTCCTCCTCGTCACAGTGTCCTGTTCATCGGAGACGCCGACCGCCGTCCCCTGCTTTTTGGAAACGCCCATGAGGCCAACCGTTGGGCCGAAGTGTGGCAAAGCTATCGGGCTATGTGGGCTATGTATTCCTCCAGCCGTCGTGGAACCCCTTCGGGGAACGCTGGAGAGAGGACGAGAAACGAGGAGGATAGGGACGATAAGGAGGAGCAGGAGGAGGAGCAGGAGGAGGAGGAGGAGGAGGAGGAGGAGGAGGGAGGAGGAGGGAGGAGGAGGAGGAGGAGGAGGAGGAGGAGGAGGAGGAGGAGGAGGAGGAGAGGAGGAGGAGGAGAGGAGGAGGAGGAGGAGGAGGAGGAGGAGGAGGAGGAGGAGGAGGAGGTGAGGAGGAGGAGGAGGAGGAGGAGGAGGAGGCGGAGGAGGAGAAGGAGGAATGAGGAGGGGTCCTGGGAGCCTCTTTGGGGCCTCCGAGGAGCCTCGTGGGAGCCTTTTGGGCCCTCTTTGGGGTCTCTTTGGGGCCTCTTGGGGGCCTCTCTGGGGAGGCCTCTGGGGACCTCTAAGGGACCTCTAAGGGACCTCTAAGGGACCTCGTGGACTTCGGAGGCCGACATGGGGCTCTGTGCACAGTGGTGGGTCCCTCGTTGAAAGCGTTAGGGCCGTCTTGAAGGCCACTGTGGCCGTCTTGGTGGCCTCCTCTTAGGGGCCCTCTTGGGCCGTGTTGCTGGCCTCTTGGGGCCTCCCAACGTCAATCACGCCGTGCACCCTTGTGGCAAGACCACCGGGTGCGGCGGACCTGGTGGCCTTGGGTCCATCCCGCCACTGCGCCGCTGGGTTGTGGTTCAGAAGCCTCTTGGTTACTTATTGGGGTCTCATTGGGTGTGTCGCGGGGAGATGCTGGAGGCCTCCTGGGCACCTATCGGGTATCTCTTAAGGCCTCTTCGGGGGCTTCTGAGAGGCCGCTTGGGTTTACGGTGGAGGCTCTGGAAGCCATCTTAGAGGACAATGCGAGATTGCTTCGGAGGCCCCTTGGCCCCCTCTTGGGCTTTGGCAGTCGTGCGGGCCCTCCTGGCGGCCGTGTTGCGCCGTCTTGCACGTCCTCTTGGGCCGCCTCGGCGTGTTGGAAGCGCAGAACGGCGAGAACCCAGAACAAATCATTGACCAGCTTGAAGAAAATCAATCATGTTTACCTCTTGGTGTCTCCTTGGAGCCCTCTTGGAGCGACTCGGGGACTTCGGGGCCGTCCCGAGGCCATCTTGGGCAGTTTCGGAGCCCCTTTGGAGCCTCTTCAGACAGAGACAGTGGGAATGCTTGAGGATAACCCCCTACGCTAAAACACATCGCTAAAACAGTGCTCACGGCAACTGCCCGGGCAAAATGCTGACACGCAGCATTCCAATACGATACAATGCTGTAGCATAGCAGTAACAGTACACGGGTGTATCATCAGATTGTGCGTTTGGCGCAGCGTTCCGTCACCATCGGCAGGCATTATTCTTGGTATATTGTTTCTTTCCTCTTCATTTCTCGGTGGGGCGATCTTCCTCCGTCAGTTATTCAACCCTCCTCCGCTGCCACCGCGGCTCGAGAAACGAGCCAGTGAGTTCCAACGTTCTAGCAGATTCTCTGCATACAGGCCATTTTGCCGGCTGCGACTGGCAATCGACATTGCGAGGTACCGTTCGTCTTTGGTCGAGGTGGCAGCATGGGGGAGAAGACTTTCCAGATCATGGGTGCCCTCTCCTGCGTGGTGATGGCAGCCTCGGCAGCAGTCTTCTGCCTGCCGATGCACAGGCTCTCCTTCTTCACTGGCGGTTTCATTCGCGCCGCGCGCATTGAGACGCATCTCTTGACGGTGGAGTTCCAGGAGGACGGCAGCGGCTTCTGCAAGGCGATCAATTACTTGCGCCCCGGCACGTGCTCCGACGGCAGCTTCAGCCTGGAGGAGGTCCAGCAGAGGTTCTGCGCCCCTGTGGTCGCCACGGCCTACCCGCAGGGCTGCCACGGCTTCCAGAACGCGTTCCGTCTCGGCATCCCTGGTGCTCAACACAGTCGGCCTGGTGTGCGTCCTCTTCGCCCTCCACAGCTACATCTACGGGCAGAGCCACAAGCGGTCCTACCGCAGCCTGGCGCTGATCGCGCTCGTGGTCTCTACCCTGCAGCTGGGCGCTGCCGTGAGCATGTACGGCCTCTTCGTGTTCAGGCACCTGGACGAGATGAAGGCCAGAGGCGCCAGCGGCATGGTCACCAAGTTTGTCTTCGCGGCGAGCGAGGGCATCGGGGCTTCCTTTGGCTTCTTCGCGTGCACCAGCATCATCTTCTTGCAGCTGTTCATGCTCGCGATCTGGCAGTACACCAGGACCTCGCAGGAGCAGAGCGACGAGGAGATCAATGAGAAGAAGCTGTTCGCCGCCGGGTTGGAGGCCCACGCGGGCTACGGCGGTGTCCCGGCCGCGGCGCCGCCGGCGCAGCCCTGGCCGCAGGCCGAGCAGGTCCTCTACGTCCCCGGCGGCGCCGCGCCGCAGCAGTGGGATCAGCCGCCCACCGGCTTCGGAGGCGCTGCCGGCGCGGTGCCGGCCCAGGCATGGCCCCAGGCCGGCGGCCCCGCGCCGCAGCAGTGGGACCAGCCTGCCGGGCTGCTGGCCCCCAGCACTTACGAGAGCCAGCCCCTGGAGATGCGGCGGGGGCAGACGTACATGCCCGACGTCCCGCCGAGCAACGCGGTGTGAGCCCAGGGCCCTTTCCCGGCGGTCCCCGGCGCGCGGCCGCGGCGGGAGTGAGTCCTTGCCCCTGCTGGTCTTGCTCCGCCGTCCTCCTGCTGGTCGCCGCCCTCACTGCTCCCCCTCCTCGTCACAGTGTCCTGTTCATCGGAGACGCCGACCGCCGTCCCATGCGGCCAACCGTTGGGCCGAAGTGTGGCAAAGCTATCAGGCTATGTGGGCTACGTGTTCCTCCAGCGGTCGTGGAACCCCTTCGGGGAACGCTGGAGAGACGAAAGGAGGAGGATGGGGAAGAGGAACGAGGAGGATGGGGACGATAAGGAGGAGGAGGAGGAGGAGGAGGAGGAGGAGGAGGATGAGGAGGAGGAGGAGGAGGAGAGGAGGGAGGAGAGGAGGAGGAGGAGGAGGAGAGAGGAGGCGGAGGAGGAGGGGGAGTGGAGGGGAGGAGGAGGAGGAGGAGGAGGAGTGGGAGGAGGAGGAGGAGGAGGAGGAGGAGGAGGAGGAGGAGGAGGAGGAGGAGGCGGAGGAGGAGAAGGAGGAATGAGGAGGGGTCCTGGGAGCCTCTTTGGGGCCTCCGAGGAGCCTCGTGGGAGCCTTTTGGGCCCTCTTTGGGGTCTCTTTGGGGCCTCTTGGGGGCCTCTCTGGGGAGGCCTCTGGGGACCTCTAAGGGACCTCTAAGGGACCTCTAAGGGACCTCGTGGACTTCGGAGGCCGACATGGGGCTCTGTGCACAGTGGTGGGTCCCTCGTTGAAAGCGTTAGGGCCGTCTTGAAGGCCACTGTGGCCGTCTTGGTGGCCTCCTCTTAGGGGCCCTCTTGGGCCGTGTTGCTGGCCTCTTGGGGCCTCCCAACGTCAATCACGCCGTGCACCCTTGTGGCAAGACCACAGGGTGCGGCGGATCTGGTGGCCTTGGGTCCATCCCGCCACTGCGCCGCTGGGTTGTGGTTCAGAAGCCTCTTGGTTACTTATTGGGGTCTCATTGGGTGTGTCGCGGGGAGATGCTGGAGGCCTCCTGGGCACCTATCGGGTATCTCTCTTAAGGCCTCTTCGGGGGCTTCTGAGAGGCCGCTTGGGTTTACGGTGGAGGCTCTGGAAGCCATCTTAGAGGACAATGCGAGATTGCTTCGGAGGCCCCTTGGCCCCCTCTTGGGCTTTGGCAGTCGTGCGGGCCCTCCTGGCGGCCGTGTTGCGCCGTCTTGCACGTCCTCTTGGGCCGCCTCGGCGTGTCGGAAGCGCAGAACGGCGAGAACCCAGAACAAATCATTGACCAGCTCGAAGAAAATCAATCATGTTTACCTCTTGGTGTCTCCTTGGAGCCCTCTTGGTGCGACTCGGGGACTTCGGGGCCGTCCCGAGGCCATCTTGGGCAGTTTCGGAGCCCCTTTGAAGCCTCTTCAGACAGAGACAGTGGGAATGCTTGAGGATAACCCCCTACGCTAAAACACATCGCTACAACAGTGCTCACGGCAACTGCCCGGGCAAAATGCTGACAAGCAGCACTCCAATACGATACAATGTTGTAGCATAGCAGTAACAGTACAAGGGTGTATCAGCAGATTGTGCGTTTGGCGCAGCGTTCCGTCACCATCGGCAGGCATTATTCTTGGTATCTTGTTTCTTTCCTCTTCATTTCTCGGTGGGGCGATCTTCCTCCGTCAGTTATTCAACCCTCCTCCGCTGCCACCGCGGCTCGAGAAACGAGCCAGTGAGTTCCAACGTTCTAGCAGATCCTCTCATACAGGCCCTTTTGCCGGCTGCGACTGGCAATCGACATTGCGAGGTACCGTTCGTCTTTGGTCGAGGTGGCAGCATGGGGGAGAAGACTTTCCAGATCATGGGTGCCCTCTCCTGCGTGGTGATGGCAGCCTCGGCAGCAGTCTTCTGCCTGCCGATGCACAGGCTCTCCTTCTTCACTGGCGGTTTCATTCGCGCCGCGCGCATCGAGACGCATCTCTTGACGGTGGAGTTCCAGGAGGACGGCAGCGGCTTCTGCAAGGCGATCAATTACTTGCGCCCCGGCACGTGCTCCGACGGCAGCTTCAGCCTGGAGGAGGTCCAGCAGAGGTTCTGCGCCCCTGTGGTCGCCACGGCCTACCCGCAGGGCTGCCACGGCTTCCAGAACGCGTTCCGTCTCGGCATCGGGCTCGCCGTCTCCCTGGTGCTCAACACAGTCGGCCTGGTGTGCGTCCTCTTCGCCCTCCACAGCTACATCTACGGGCAGAGCCACAAGCGGTCCTACCGCAGCCTGGCGCTGATCGCGCTCGTGGTCTCTACCCTGCAGCTGGGCGCTGCCGTGAGCATGTACGGCCTCTTCGTCTTCAGGCACCTGGACGAGATGAAGGCCAGAGGCGCCAGCGGCATGGTCACCAAGTTTGTCTTCGCGGCGAGCGAGGGCATCGGGGCTTCCTTTGGCTTCTTCGCGTGCGCCAGCATCATCTTCTTGCAGCTGTTCATGCTCGCGATCTGGCAGTACACCAAGACCTCGCAGGAGCAGAGCGACGAGGAGATCAGGGAGAAGAAGCTGTTCGCCGCCGGGTTGGAGGCCCACGCGGGCTACGGCGGTGTCCCGGCCGCGGCGCCGCCGGCGCAGCCCTGGCCGCAGGCCGAGCAGGTCCTCTACGTCCCCGGCGGCGCCGCGCCGCAGCAGTGGGATCAGCCGCCCACCGGCTTCGGAGGCGCCGCCGGCGCGGGGCCGGCCCAGGCATGGCCCCAGGCCGGCGGCCCCGCGCCGCAGCAGTGGGACCAGCCTGCCGGGCTGCTGGCCCCGAGCACTTACGAGAGCCAGCCCCTGGAGATGCGGCGGGGGCAGACCTACATGCCCGACGTCCCGCCGAGCAACGCGGTGTGAGCCCAGGGCCCTTCCCCGGCGGTCCCCGGCGCGCGGCCGCGGCGGGAGGGAGTCCTTGCTCCTGCTGCTCTTGCTCCGCCGTCCTCCTGCTGGTCGCCGCCCTCACTGCTCCCCCTCCTCGTCACAGTGTCCTGTTCATCGGAGACGCCTACGGCGAATCACCGCCGCCCACTGCCTGTTGGAAATGCCCATGCTATGTGTTCCCCGCGCCGTCGTGGAACCCCTTGGCGGAACACTGGGGACAGGAAGAGGAAGGAGGAGGATGGGGAGGAGAAGAAGGAGGATGAGAAGGAGGAGGATGAGGAGGATGAGGAGGAGGGGTTGGTCCTGGGAGCCTCTTTTGGGCCTCTTGGGCCTTCTTAGCCTTCTTTGGGGCCTCTTGGGCCCTCTTTGGGGCCTCTTGGGGGCCTCTTGGGGGCCTTTTGGAGTCTTCTGGGGACCTCTAAAGGGACCTCTTGGCCTTCGGAGGCCTCCATGGGGCTCTGTGCGCAGGTCCCTCTTTGGGAGCTTTAAGGCCGTCTTGAAGGCCTCTGGGGACGTCTTGGGGCCGTCTTGGGGGCCTCTTCTGATGGCCCTCTCGGGGGCCGTCTTGGGGGCCGTGTAGCTGGCCTCTCGGGGGCCTCTTGGGTCGTCCTGGGGCGATCGTGAAGGCCTTTGGGGCCGTCTTGGAGCATGGAGCATGGGAAGCCCACACAGGCGAGACCGATAGACTGCTCGAACAGCCTGAGGACAATCATCGATTCGGGCCTCCTGGAGGTCCTCTTGGAGCCCTCTCGGGGCGGCTTGGGGGCCTCATGGGCCGTCTGGACGGCATTGGGCCGTCTTGGGGCCGTCTTGGACGTCTTGGGAGGCGTCTTGGGACCGTGGAGGCCCTCCAGGGCCATCTTGGACGTCCTGGAGGCGTCTTGCTGGCCATCCTTGGCCGTCTTGCAGCCATCTTGGAGGCCATCTTGGGCCATCTTGGCCGTCTTGGAGGCGATTTGGGCAACGGGGTACGTAGTTTCGGCGGCGCTGTTGGGTCCTTCGGGTGGCAGGCGGGATCGGACGAGACTCCACTGAGAGTTTCCGAAAGGGCCACCAACTACCTGGCATACAGCACGCCGTGCACCCCTGTGGCACGCCAACAGGAGGCGGCGGATCGAAGATGCCTACGGCGAATCCCCGCCGCCCCCCTGCCTTTATGACACGCCTGTGTGGCCGAACATGTGGGCAAAGTTTGGCCACGCGATTGGACCATGCGTTCTCCAAGCCGTTGTGGAAGCCCTTCGGGGAACACGTGGGGGAGGAAGGAGGATGAGGAGAAGAAGGAGGAGACCTCTTGGGAGCTTCTTGGGTCATTCTTGAGGCCTCCTGGGAACTTCCTGGGGGGCTCGTGGAGGCCTCTTGGGGGCCTCTTCGGCCTCTTGGAGGCCTTTGAGGGCTTCTTGGGGGCCTCTTTGGTCGTCTTACGGCGTTCCTGGCCCGTCTGACGCCGTCGGGAGCCGCCATGGGAGCCTCGTTGGGACGTCTTGGGGCCCTCTTGAAGCGCTTCAGAGTCGTCTTGAAGGCCATCGTTCCAGGCCTCTTGGGCCGTCTTGGCGCCTTGAGGGGCCGTCTTGGGAGCCTCTGGGGCGATCTTGGGGCAATCTTGGGGGCTGTTTTGGAAGCACATGCCCACGTCCGTCGAGCACGTGTCTGGCAACTCAGTGCTGTTGGCCTCTTCGGGCCCTTCTGGAGGACCTCTTGGAGGCCTCTTGCGCCTTTGCAGGGGCCTGCCTCCTGGGCGCTTCTTGTGCCGTCTTGGGCTCTCTTGGACCCTCTTGGCGGTCTTGGGGGCAAATTCAAACCGTTTTTGGAGGCCATCTTGGGGCTGCCTTGGGCCCCCGTGAGCCCACCTTGCCCGCCTCGGAGGCATCTTGGAGGCCATCTTGGTCGTGGCTATTTGGAGGCGATTGGGCCAACAATTTGTGGCGACTTTTTGCAGCTTTCTGGTGGGCTGGGCCGGAGCCTCAGTTTTGTTCTCAACAGTGAACCAAGAGCCACCAGAACTCCAGCATACCGGGCACCCCTGTGGGCCTCTTAGGGCGCTTCTTGGGACCTCTGCGGGGGCCTCTAGCGGTCTCGGAGGGGCCGCTTGGGATTCTGGTCGAGGCTGTGGAGGCCATCTTCGAGGAGAGCGCGAAATTGCTGCTGAGGCCCCGCGGCCCCCTTTTGGACCAGCGTTGGGCCGTTCGGGGGGCCTCTCCGACGGTCTTGCTGGTCCTCGTGAGGTCTTTTGGGCCGCCTAGGGGCGTCGGAAGTTCAGAGCGGCGAGAACGCACAAAAACCAATTCATCCATCCGAAGGAACTCAGTGGTGTTTGCCTCCTGGTTCCCCCTTATGGTGTCTGCTTGGGTCCCTCTCGGAGCGACTTTAGGACCTCGGGGCCGTCCTGAGGCCATCTTGGGCGGTCTTGGAGCCCTGTTGGACCCTTTTCAGACAGAGACAGAGGAAATTCTAGAGGAACACCCCATGCACTAACACACATCGCTACGACAGTGCTCACGACCACTCTCCAGGCAACGCGCTGACAAGCAGCACCCGAGCACAACGCAATGCTGCAGCATAGCAGTGATAGTACAAAGAGGGTACCAGCAGATTGTGCAGTGGGCGCGGCGCTCCGTCACTATCGGCAGACACTGTTCTTGATCTCGTGCTTCCACCGTCATCGCTCCTCGGCGGGGCGATCTTCCTCCGTCAGTTACTTAGCCCTCCTCCGTTGCCACCCCGGCTCGAGAAACGAACCAGTGAGTTCCAACGTTCTAGCAGATTCTCTGCATACAGGCCCTCTTGCCGGCCGAAACTGGCAATCTTTTTTGCGCGGTACGTGTGGTACCGTTCGTCTTTGGTCGAGGTGGCAGCATGGGGGAGAAGACTTTCCAGATCATGGGTGCCCTCTCCTGCGTGGTGATGGCAGCCTCGGCAGCAGTCTTCTGCCTGCCGATGCACAGGCTCTCCTTCTTCACTGGCGGTTTCATTCGCGCCGCGCGCATTGAGACGCATCTCTTGACGGTGGAGTTCCAGGAGGACGGCAGCGGCTTCTGCAAGGCGATCAATTATTGAATCGCTTCGCTCATTCCGCCGGCCCATTTCGCATGACTGAGCCTCTTGGGGCCGCTGGGGGGCCTCTTCAGCGTCGCTTGGGGGCCTCCTGAGGGCCTCTTGGGGGCTTTGGGGGCCTCTCAGGGGCCTCTTGAGGCCTCGGGGCTTCTTAAGGCCGAGGGCTCGAAGTTTCGTTTTGTGTTCCCCCTTGGGGGGCATCGCTTGGGGCCCTCTTGGGCCCCTCTTGGGCCGTCTTGGATGTCTCTGGGGCCGTCTTGGAGCCCTCTTGGGCCAGCTTGGGGCCTTCTTGGGAGCTTCTTGGGCCCTCTTGGGGCGATCTTGGGGGCCTCTTGGGCCGTCTTGGGTCGTCGGGAAGCCGAAAAGATGGACACGCCAAAATCTGCCCAAAACCTAAGGAAAAGTACGTAATGATTTTTGCCTCTTGGGGCCCTCTGGGGAGTGCTCTTGGAGGCCTCTTGGGGCGTCTGGGGGCCATCTTGGGCGTCTTGGAACGATCGTGTGGCATCTCGGAGCACTCTTGAACCATCTTGGAGGGCGTTTGGCGGCCTCGTGGCCCTTCTTGGGGCTCTCTGGAGGGCCACGGTGGCGGCGCCCAGGAGGAAAACCATCTCTGACCCGAGTCTGCCGGGGATCGCCCGGGGTACCTTTTCGTCCGGGTAAACCCAGGGGCCGCCCCGCGCGCGCGAAGTAGAAGTATTATTTAGCAGTTACCGGAGATCTTAGCACGCCTCTGGCCCGTTGGGCCGGCGAATTTGCGCCCCGGCACGTGCTCCGACGGCAGCTTCAGCCTGGAGGAGGTCCAGCAGAGGTTCTGCGCCCCTGTGGTCGCCACGGCCTACCCGCAGGGCTGCCACGGCTTCCAGAACGCGTTCCGTCTCGGCATCGGGCTCGCCGCCTCCCTGGTGCTCAACGCAGTCGGCCTGGTGTGCGTCCTCTTCGCCCTCCACAGCTACATCTACGGGCAGAACCACAAGCGGTCCTACCGCAGCCTGGCGCTGATCGCGCTCGTGGTCTCTACCCTACAGCTGGGCGCTGCCGTGAGCACGTACGGCCTCTTCGTGTTCAGGCACCTGGACGAGATGAAGGCCAGAGGCGCCAGCGGCATGGTCACCAAGTTTGTCTTCGCGGCGAGTGAGGGCATCGGGGCTTCCTTTGGCTTCTTCGCGTGCGCCAGCATCATCTTCTTGCAGCTGTTCATGCTCGCGATCTGGCAGTACACCAAGACCTCGCAGGAGCAGAGCGACGAGGGGAGATAGGGGCCTTACCGCCGAGTTGCGCCGCAGGGTTGGGAGGCCAGCGCGGTACGGCGGTGTCCCGGCCGCGGCGCCGCCGGCGCAGCCCTGGCCGCAGGCCGAGCAGGTCCTCTACGTCCCCGGCGGCGCCGCGCCGCAGCAGTGGGATCAGCCGCCCACCGGCTTCGGAGGCGCCGCCGGCGCGGGGCCGGCCCAGGCATGGCCCCAGGCCGGCGGCCCCGCGCCGCAGCAGTGGGACCAGCCTGCCGGGCTGCTGGCCCCCAGCACTTACGAGAGCCAGCCCCTGGAGATGCGGCGGGGGCAGACCTACATGCCCGACGTCCCGCCGAGCAACGCGGTGTGAGCCCGGGGCCCATTTCCCTGGCGGTCCCCGGCGCGCGGCCGCGGCGGGAGTGAGTCCTTGCCCCTGCTGGTCTTGCTCCGCCGTCCTCCTGCTGGTCGCCGCCCTCACTGCTCCTCCTCCTCGTCACAGTGTCCTGTTCATCGGAGACGCCGACCGCCGTCCCCTGCTTTTTGGAAACGCCCATGAGGCCAACCGTTGGGCCGAAGTGTGGCAAAGCTATCGGGCTATGTGGGCTATGTATTCCTCCAGCCGTCGTGGAACCCCTTCGGGGAACGCTGGAGAGAGGACGAGAAACGAGGAGGATAGGGACGATAAGGAGGAGC